TGTGTGTGTGTGTGTGTGTGTGTGTGTGTGTGTGTGTGTGTGTGTGTTTGTGTCTACATACACGTGTGTAAAGAGGCCCAGTGACCACCACCCTACTTCAAACCTGCATGGCTACCTTAGGAACATCCAGAGTCTCCCTTCTCCACCCCTTAGGTTCAGCTCTGACCATGGCGCCTCTCTGCCCAAAACATCCAGTGGCTTCTTACTGTCTCTATGCAAAACACTTAAGCCCCAAAGCAGGAGTTCTTAAGCAGGGATCCATGAACTTGTTGGGTTTTTTGAAATATTCTGATAACAGTATTTCAATGTAATTGTTCTCCTTTGTAATGCCTTCGGATTTTTTGTAAATTTGAATTATAATTAATATTACTATATATTTAAGTAATAATAACAGCTAGTATTTATGTAGTGTCTATGGGCCATATCATTTCATTTGATCCTCACAACAACTCTAGGAGGTGGGTGCTTTTTACAGTTGAGGAAACAAGACAGGTAGAAGTGATGTGAGTTACCCATGGGTCACCTAGCTGGTAAGTATCTGAGGCAGGATTTGAACTCAGGTCTTCCTGTATCCAGGTGCAGTGCTCTGGGCACTGTGGTGCCCCCTGCTTTAAAACCATGATTCTGAGAAGGGGCCCTAGGATCCGTAACACAGAAAAGGTGGTCTTGAGGCTATCATAGCTTGGCTCCCATCCCCTTCATTTCCATCCTTAATTCCTCAGTCCCTTTCACGTGCCCCCAGACTCAGCTGGCCATGTCCCCTGTCAGCATGTTTGGGGTACGAGTCCCCTCCCCCCCACCTCCAGCTTGAGTTCAGGAGTTTGCTTTCCCAGTTGTGTTCATGCTTTGTTTCTTCTGGTCTGGATGCACATTGTGACCCTCGACAAAGCGTCAGCTCTTGGGAAAACTTCATTTTCTCTGTGTCTTCAGCATCCAGGATTTAATTTTTTCAATGGAGTTGAGGGGTAGGGCAGGGAGAACAGCCTGGTCACTGACCCTCTCTTTGTTTTCTATCTGATGGTTCTAGGCCATGATTCCTGTGAACACCTTCTCTCAAGCGGTAGATTTCTTGGAGAGAAAGTTTGGCAGCCTCACAGCTGTATGATGCACAAATATAAAGTCAGGTAAAGTTCTTGTTTTCAAATGTTTTGTTTGTTTTCGTTCCCTAAGACAGAGGGTGGAGAGAGAACAGGAAAGCCTTTGGCCCCTGGTTCAAATCTTGGCTTTGAGGAAACACTTATGGCCCGTGGGTTTTTGAGACTGATATTTCAAATGTTTGGGGCCCTTGACGCAGGACTCTGGTGATCAAAGATGGCCCCAGTCCACAGGTCCTAAACTGATGTTCTGAGGTCAGCTATGTGTTTCTAGAGCGAAGAGTATAAAGGAATTGTGTGCTACATTCCTCATTTGTAGGTCGGACCAAGGTCAGAATTCATTTGTGTCTTTGGCAAGGTTCTCTAAAATACAGCTTTATGAATTTCACCTTTTTTTTAAAGAAAGAGTTGTTCCTGTGAAATGTGGCTGCTCCTACTGGGGCGTTCGGAGCCTGGACTTTGTTGATGGGGCATCTGCTCTAAGGCTGGCCCCGAGAAGGAGAGGCCCCGGTTAAGGAGGGCCAAGTGGAGCAACTCCGAGCTTCCAAGCCAGCCGGTAATGGGAAGAGTAACGTGCTGATTTTTTAAAATGTAGCATTTAAAAAGTTCAAGAGACACAATTTCTGGGTAATTTAATCATCTTATTAATAATGCCAGCATGCTTATTAATAAAAGGATGGTCATTTGGCCCCTCGTGGCAGTGGGCTCACGGTTTATATGCCCTTGGAAAAGTGGGTATTCCTGAGGGTTAATAATTAATGAGAACATGAATATTACAATGAAAGGTTGGGCTATATCACAGTGAAGGTCTTGGGGTGCATGACTTGGATCAGTCAAATCTTGGTGAAAGAAATGTGTCAGTTTCCATGTGACCTGTCTGGCAAAAGGGAGGATCCACATTTTCCCAGACCTGTCTGAGTAAATGCAGTGATCAGGAAGGCACCTGTTAACCTAAACTTAGAATTTCTTTTACTCTTTGATTAGGTCTCAGCCATCCTGGCTGGGTAAAGTCTTGGACAGCCATTCCCCATCCTGGTTCATTTCTCGGTGAAGAAGAATAAAAGGGGGAGAGCCTTGGTCCTAATTCAAAATAATCATCATTAATGAAAGAGAGGAATAATCACTAAAATAATCATTGAATCTTTTTGTTACAGTGAAGCAAAGAACTGCCTCATAGATAAACATATTGCTTTTATCGGGGACTCCAGAATTCGTCAGTTATTTTATTCTTTTGTAAAAATAATTAATCCTCAATTCAAAGAAGAAGGAAATAAGGTAAGAGTGTCATATTCCATATCTTTAGAATATTTGTGTTTAGGAAGATGACCATCTGAGGAATTATGGGGCCTGTGTGTGCATCATCTTGCCTCCAGAGTAGAGGTTGATCAGTCTTTGTTCTGAGGAAAGTTGAATAAATTACCTAGCGGTATGATGAAATGCCTTTTTCATGCCAAGTCCAAAGAATCAATCAGTCAGTCAGTCAATAAACACTTATGAAGCGCCTGCCTCTGCTAGGCAGCTGGAAGACTCAGTTGATAGCGCTTGGGCAGGAAGACTTGAGTTCAAATCCGGCCTCAGATACTCGCTAGCTGTGTGACCCTGGGCAAGTCTCTTAACCTATTTGCCTTAATCCACTGGAGAAGGCAATGGCAAACCCCTCCAGTATCTTTGCCAGGAAAACCCCACAGACAGTATTAGTGTGCTGTGGTCCACGGGGGCCACAGAACATCAGACAAGACAGAAGAACAAGTGCTAGGGATACAGAGAGGCAAAAGACAGGCCCTGCCCTCAAGGAGCTCCCAGTCTAACGGGGGAGACAGTGTAAGCTCCTCCGTACAGGAGAAACAGGAAATGAGAGAGGGAAGGCGCTGGAATTCAGGGGGGCTCAGAAGCTGGGATTTCAGGTGGGCCTGAAAGGCAGCCAAGGACACCAGATGTCGGCATGGAGGAGGGAGAGCATTCCAGTGATGGCGGACAGCCAGGAGGCCAGGGTCCCTCGGTCAGAGAGCACATGTTGGAATTAAGATTGTCAGAAGACTGGAAAGGTAGGAGGGGAGAAGTTGTATTTGATCCCAGGGGTGATAGGGAGCTCCAGGGGCTGACATGCTCAGACCTGTACTTTAAGATATATTTGGGTGGAGAATGGGCTAGAGCAGGGAGAGACAGGAAGTAGGCAGACCCACCTTCAGATGATTGTAATCATCCAGGTTGTGAGGTGATGAGGGCCTGCACCAGGGCTGTGGCAGCATCGAAAGAGAGAAGGGGGCGTATTCAAGAGTTGTGGAACCATATTGGATATTGATGGGGGGGAGGTGTGAGAGAATGAAGAGTCCAGGAGGACGCCTATGTTGTGAACCTGAGGCTCTGGGAGGAGGGGGTGCCCTCTTCAATAACAGAAGGGAGGAGGCAGGGAGGGTTTAGGAGAAAGATGGTAAATTCTGTTTTGGACCTGTTGAGTTTAAGATGTTACTGGACATCCAGTTCAAGATGTCTGAGAGGCAGTTGAATATGGGAGACTGGGGCAGGCCAGGCAGAGGTGAGAACCGTCAGCACAGATGGTCACTGAATCTGTGAGAGCTGATGAGCTCACCAGGTGAGGTAAGGAGTCCAGAGGGAGAGGAGCAGAGGACCCAGGACAGATTCTGAGGGACACGTGGGGTCGGAGGGCATGTTCTGGAGGAGGATCCAGGAGAGGAGATGGAGAAGGAGCGGTCAGAGAGAGAGGGCTGTTGGATGTGGTCACTGAGAGACCATGGGCAGTTTCAGTGGGATGGAGTCGTCAGAAGCTGGGTTGTAAAGGGTTGACAAGAGGGTGAGAGGAGAGGAAATGTAGATGCCTTTCAAGGACAGAAGAGACGCAGGACAATGGTTAGAAGGTACGGAAGGACCAAGGGAAAGGTTTGTGAGGATGGAGATGGGGGTGTGTTTGCAGACAGTGGGGAAGGAGCCAGTAGAGACGGAGATATTGATAATAAGAGTGGGCCATGATGGGGGAGGGGGGTAGTCTGTTGGAGGAGGCGGGATGGAAGGGGATCCCATGTGCAGGTAGAGAGGTTGGCCTTGGCCCAGATCACAGGAGACATCTGAGCGATGGGAGACCTGTTAGACCTACGTCTGTGTTGACAGAATAAATAGAAAGTGGTTTGGAAGGTGGAGGAGATTGGGAATTAGAGCTCATGGAGAAACTGCACCCTAAAGGACAAGGGGGCTATAATCTAGGCTTGGGAGATGGGCAATGGAGTGTCCGTGGTCAGTACCCCCTTCTCCTCAGAGAGACACACTCTTCTCCTATTTTGTGACCCCTCTCTCCTCCATCTCTTTGGCTCGATCATCTCCCATTCCACTTCTTAACTGTGGGAGCTCCTAGATCTCTGTTCTAAGCCATCTTCTTTCTGTACACTTTCTCCACTTCCCTCATTCTGTAATCCAAATCTGGACAGAGGCCTGAGGAAGAGGAGACAGGGAAGGTGTGTTCAGCTCAGTAGAGAGAGTGGTGTCACTAAAGCCCAGAGAAGAGGGAAAAGGGGTGGTCAGCAATGCCAGAGGCTGCTGAGAGGTCAGGAAGGGTGAGGACTGAGGAAAGACCATTCATCTGGGCACATAAGAGATCACTGGTGACTTTGCAGAGAACATTTTCAATCGAATGATGAAGGGTAAGGGGTTGAGCCCGTGGAATTAAGGTTAGTGAAAATAAGACAGAAGAAATGAGTGTAAGCAGGTTTTTTTCTAGGAGTTAGGCTGAGAGAGAAGAGAATTACTGGACAATGGCTTGAGGGGGTAGTTGGTTCTAGTGAAGGGTTTGAAGGGTGAGAGAGATGGTTAAGGGGCTAATCGCCAAAGAAGATGGCAGGGCAGGGGCCCAAGGGTGCATGCAGATGGGAGGGAATTGACAAGGAGAAGGGCTGCCTCGTCTGTGGTCTAGATCAGGGAAAGGAGATAAGTCCTCTTGATGGACTTGAATCAAGAGAGAAGAGGCAATTTACATCAAGTTATTTTCTCAGTGAATAAGAAGGGAGGTCCTGAGCTGGGGGGGACCATGTGGGAGGCTCTGAAGTGAGTGAGTAAGGAATTTGGGACAGGGGGGGAGAGAGAGAGGGAGGATGGCAGGGTGGCAGAACAGCCCCAGCACAGGGAGGGCCCAGTTGAAGTTAGGTAATAAAATGCGTCCCATCAGCGTGGTGCTGAGACCCCATCTACCTCCATTCACCACCCTGTGAGGAAAGGTAGAGGAAGCCAATGATGGTAGGAGGAGAAAGGGTTGACTGCCACATTGGAAATGAGGAAGAACACCTAGGAGGGAGTCTAGCAGCCTTCAAGGGAATGAGTGCTTCCTCTTATGCCTGACTAGGAGTGGTAGTGGTGGTGGTTATTATTGGACAGCTGGGTGGTGCAGGAAGACTCATCTTCCTGAGTTCAAATGCGGGCTCAGACACTTCCTAGCTGTGTGACCCTGGGCAAGTGGCTTCACCCTATTTGCCTCAGTTTCCTTGTCTAAGAAATGAACTGGAGAAGGAAATGGCAGACCCCTCCAGTATCTTTGCCATGCTAACCCCAAATGGGGTCACCAAGAGTCGGACGTGACTGAAACGACTGAACGGCAAAAAGGCTGTTCCCCCTGACCAGGGGTTAGAGCCCCCCAAGCCCTTGGCTGCTCTCAAAGATCACAAGAGTGACACCTGATCAGTAATTTATCTGTCTACCTGTAGCAATGGGTGTGTGGGCATTAAGCCTCCTTTGCGGTTGGGTACAAGCACCTTGGCTTCCCTAGTCATTAAGATCCAGGACAGTGTGATGGGCAGAAGAAGGAAGAAGGATGGTAGAAGATTCAAGGTTCAAGAGGAGGGTTTTCAGGGAGAAAAAGATTAATCTATGCGTTAATGAAGTTCCCCAAGGTAAAGACAGACAGTGATGGGTTATCCCAAGAGGTGCCTCCTCAGTCACCTGGGGCTCTATTTCCCCAGAAGAGTTGTCTTTATGAAGCCTTTTGTAGTTGGTACCAACTGTTTCCCATTACACCCACACCCCGCCCCCACCACATGCGCACGCGAGTTGAAGGAAAGCTGTGAAGCCAGATCAGTGCTCAGGGTGGTGACTGCAGTGTCCCGTCATCCCCATCCCCCACTTCTCCACTGAGAAGTGGGAATGTGTTACCCCATCAGTCTTCCGAAACTTGGGAAACAAGGGATTGCAATCTGGCCGCCCTCGAGCGCGGTTCTTAGTTATTGAGCACCCCGTTCTCCTCATTCAGCATCGGTCCGTGTAGGTTTCCTCTTGTTTCTCCACCTTCAGCAAGTCCATCACCTCTTAGGGAACAGAAGTAGAGTCGTCGTCACCCCCACCCCTGGTGCCTGGTGTGTGACAAAAAGGAGTTTCCTAAATGGTTTTGAATTGGATTGGATGTTGTCCTCAGTGTTCTCAGATCTGAATTCTAGATCCATTCTGGATCCCTTCTGAGATCTTCAGATGTGTACCATAGACCGTTCTTGGGGGATGGTGTCACAGGCTGGTGTAAAGCAAAGGCTCGTGCGTAGGGCCCACCTTTTTGAGTTTGCAGCTATAAATGAGGGACAGTTGGAAGGTCATTTGGGTTATCCAGGCTCCCCCCCCAAAAAAGTAGATGAATGAGAAACTAGCATTTTATTTAAAGCTTTCTGTATTAAAAGGTTAATATTTTCTGTTTTCTCCCTCTCCCTTTCTTTGGCAGCATGAAAACATTCCTTTTGAAGACAGAATTTCATCAGTTAAAGTGGTAAGTTTATCACTAAAATACTTGCCAGTGTTGGTAGTTGAGCCAGAGAAGAACAGTATAAGGACTGAATAAACAGAGTTTATTTTTTGTACTCATGAGTTACTTTGTGGATAGAGTGGGGTCATACCTTTAGAGACCATCTGTCTTTATCAAAGGGAAACAGCCAGCTCAAGGAAGTGCCTCCATCTGTCAGGTTGTAACCTAACCACACCCATACCTGTTAGGTCCCTGAAAGGATTGGTTTCAGCTCTTAACTCCCTGACAGTGTCACTAACCTTGACCTACCACCTCCTTGTTCCCCATTTGAGTGAAAATGCCTTGAGGCCAAAGACTGCGCCGTTGTGCTGGTATTCACATGGCCCATGGTTAGGTAGAATGGCCTTATGGCATCTGTGGGAGCCTGTGGCTGGTACCCAGAGATGCACGTTGACTGGACTGGACGCCCTCCCTCCAGGTCCTTCAGTCTCCTGCCAGTCAGAGCCCCCAGGTGAGGCCTTGACAAGCCAGGTGGGCAGGACTGAGATTTCTGATGGTTGTTTGTGTTTCTCTTAGGATTTCCTGTGGCACCCCGAAGTTAATGCTTCCATGAAACAGTGTGTCAGATTGTGGACTGAGGTTGGTATTTAGGGGTTCAGTTAAACCCAGTGCTTCTGCCTCCTCTTGACAAAGAGGGCTGTGAGCGAGGGTCCCGAGGCCGCCTTGGCTTCCCCTCCTCTCCATCTGTCCGTCCATCAGAGGCCAGTGTGGAAGCCCTGAGTCTCAGGATGAATTGATTCCCGGCAGCCCCTTCTGGGGTTCTCAGACCCCTTTATCCTTCTGGTCCCTTCAGTGGGAGTTTGAGAGGATCAGGTGACATAGCAGTTGGTGCTCCATCACAGAGAAGGTGCTCCATAAGCTGCTGTTAATTTGGATTTTTCCTCTTTAGGAACCTGTTGGAAAGCCCCACGTCATCGTCGCAGGAGCTGCCACGGTGAGCACTTGGTGTTGTTCTCTGTTGCTTTCTGCCCCTGCCAAGATCGGGGGCCTGTCAGACCGTCTTTTGGATCCAGGTCACTCTTGTAATTCAGACGCCTGAGTGATGCGTGGGAAGCCCTTGTTTGTCCTGTCACAAGCTGCCTTCCTCCCTTTTTCCGTCCTGTCCGTGGGCGGTGATGATCTGAGTCAATAAGGGATTGGTTAGGTGGGAGCACTTCCCCTTTCCCCGCCGCCAGCTGGTTAATGCTGCACTTTTTGGCTCCATCTTTTTAGTGGTCCATAAAGAGCCACAACGGCAGTGAGGAGGCCCTCGCCCAGTATAAGACCAACATCACTTCTCTCGCACCACTTTTAGAGAAATTAGCAAAGACTAGCGATGTTTACTGGGTCTTACAAGGTAAGGTACTGATTTACCAAGATGTGTCACTGATCGACTTGGAGTGAGGAATCATCCTGCTGAGAGGAAAACTGTTGCTTATGAAAATGAGCATTGGGATGAGCTTGCCCCCAAGTAATTCTCTAAAGCCAGGGATGTCAGCTTATAGTCAGGGCAGCCTAGTAAATCTCTGGGTGAGGACGACAGGGAGACCCTCGCCTCCCTTGGTTGGGGAACCTTTGGGTGCGCGTCTTTTTTAATGTGTGGCTATAGACTCTTGGGGGGCATCTTTTGATCTGAAATTCCCGTCAGGGTCACAGATTTGGAGAGTGGACACACACCAAAGGAATACCCACTAGAACCCCTCCAGGTCCCAAGGAAGGGAAGCCCCTTCCACTTTAAGACAGCATCCCTCTTCTCTAGGGCCAAACAGAGCAAGGCTCCGGTCCCCATCCACTCAGAGGCAGTTCTGTCCCCCTGCTTCCCTCCAGACTCTTTGCTCCAGAGAAGACAGAAAGTTTCAGGAAGAAGAGTGAACCAGGTTCACAGACTGTAGCAGGGACCCCAGAGGGAAGAAGTTTGGGCACCAAACATACTTGCTCAGCTCTCCTAGGGACCCTCAGAAATGCCTTGTTTCATGCGCAGATCCCGTCTATGAAGACCTGCTGAGTGAAAACAGGCGGATGATTACCAATGAGAAGATCAATGCTTACAACGAAGCCGCCATCAGCGTTCTCAATGGCAGCTCCAAGAATGCCAAGTCCAGGGTCAAAGTGTTCCGTGTTTCCCAGCTCATAGCCCAAGAAACCATCATGGAATCTGTGGACGGCCTCCATCTCCCAGAGTCAAGTCGAGAAACAGTAAGAGCACAGTGACCCCTGGTGTCCAGCACGGGAATAGGAGGTTGGTCTCTGCCCAACAGCCCCAGGGCCCTTAACCAAGAGCCGCAGTGAGGACTACTCACCAGTCCTCCAGGAGTGGTCTCTGCAGGGCCTGTTGGCCCCTGGCCGGCCACGTGTGTCCTGGGGCTTTGTCTACTGCCCTCTGAGGTTTTAGGTGGTAGAGGGGAACAGTAGGGTCCCCAGGAGAAGAGGAAGGGTCTCTGATGAGCCCCACTCAACCTAATGGGGTGAGGGAAGGTGAGGACGCCACCGTGGGCTGGAGGGGACTCCTGACCCACCAACTGGACGTTCTCAGGACCCGAGGCTGCCTTCCAGCCTGTGTCCTGTGTTTGAGGTGTCCGAGGCCACACGTGTTGGGAGGGAGGAGAGAAGGTCTCTGGGCGTGGCATGAGGCAGGCAAGGGCTGATTGGGAAGAGGGTGGAGGTCAAGTATTTGACCTCAAGCAGTTAGGCAGCAAGTCCTTGATGGGGTTAGTTTATTGGTTCCTCACCACAACCCTAGGAGGCAGGTGCTTTTATTTACAGATGAGGAAACTGAGGGTGGGAACTGTTCAGTGGCTGAGCTGGCTCTTAGCTTGGCCCTCAGTGACTGACCCCTACTCTAAATGTGTGCTGTGGGAGCCCAGGCAGCCTCAGGCACAGTCGCCTGGTACTCAGGACCTCAGTTTTCTCCTCTGTTTAGTGGGGCTAATGGTGCGCCAACTGGAATAGTGATAGGGCTCCCCTTCGGCTCCTGGTATCTGGGGACCTCGGTGACCCACCCCCTTGCCCTGTCTCCTCTGGCAGAGCGCCATGATTCTCATGAACGTGTGCTGCAACAAAGTGGTGAGGCCCATCGACGGCTCCTGCTGCCAGCCCCTCGAGGCCCCCACGCTCACCCAGAAGCTGGCGGCCGGCTTCTTCGGCCTCTCCATCGCGGGCTGCCTGGTCCTGCACCTCGTGCATCGACACAGTCACCGGAGGAGCCGGCTGTGCACCGACGTGGAGGCTGGGGAGGAGAAGAAGGCAGCCCCTGCGCCCCCCGCCTGCCCCTCAGAAGTGGTCCTGCAGTCATGCTGCAAGCTGGGTCTGATCATGGCCTACTTCTACCTGTGCGACCGCGCAGATCTGTTTATGAAGGAGAACAAGTTTTACACCCACTCCTCCTTCTTCACACCCATCATCTATATCCTGGTTTTAGGAGTGTTTTATAACGAAAATACCAAAGAGGTAGGCGGGGCAGGGAAGGCACCGGGTTCCCCTCGAGGGGAGGGGAGGGGAAAGGAGGGGAGGCCCTCAGAGCGGTCTGGCCGCCTCCAGCTGCCCAGGCTGTGGGTCCAGGGACTAGAAAGGGGCCCTGACTCCAGGGCCTAGTCTAAACAAATGTGGGAAATGCTGCACGTGGTGGGGTTCCCTTGGGTTCTGGAGCTCCTGCTGTGTTGGTCCCTGGGCACACAGAGCCCAGGACCTGGCCCCTGCCCTCCTGGAGCTTACCCTCTTGCAGGGGGGAGACGGGGTGTCAACTCAGTGAATGAAGCCAAGGACTGTGCCCCAAAGAGTCTGGCCTTGTGAACTGAGTCACATCTTGCTGGGGATCACTGACCTTGGTCTTTTAGGTTCCAGATCAGGAGACAGTTTGGCTTTGTCTCAGGCCACTGCCAGGTGCGGGTTGGGGGGCAGGACATTGCTTTACAGGTCCATCCCGCCTGGTGACTGGGGCATGACCCTGCCTTGGTATCTCCTTCCCACAGACCAAGATGTTGAACCGGGAGCAGACGGAGGAGTGGAAGGGCTGGATGCAACTAGTCATCCTCATCTATCACATCTCGGGGGCCAGCACTGTAAGGGTTCCAGTCTACACGGGGACTGTCTGGGGATCGGGCCTTGAGGGCGGTTTCTCGGGATAGAGACGAGAGGAGTCATTTTATATTCATCTTACCACTGGAACAGCAGAGAAATCCCAATTCCCAAATACTCCCTTAGGATGGCTATTTGTATCCGCCTTCCCCACGGAGAGGCCAAGGCTGTTCTTGATCTCATCCTTATGTAGCCAGCACTTAAACTCGGCACCTGGCACATGCAGTAGGCGCTTAATATATGCTTGTTGGATCTTGATGAGTATCAACCTGCTGAGCAGGTCAAGAAGCCGCATAGGGTGATCTTAATTATAAAGAAATAGAAACTAAACGAGGTGGTAGGATTTCAAATTCACTTAGCAGAAGTGCTAGAATAAACCAGTTCTATTGTCAGGATTCTGAAACAAGTTGGATATTTACAGTTTGGATATGTAGACTAAATATTTAGGATGACAACAGATATTTGGAGAGAGATAGGGGCAGGGCTAGCTTGGTGCTGGCCTCTGACCTGGTCACCACTGGAGCTGCCCCAGGGCCTTGACCTGCCCTCCAGGCCACTTGGAAACCGGAACTTGGTCAGAGACAAGATGCGCTATCAGCCCTCAGGTCATCACAGCAATAAATATAGCAGATGGGGGATTTCTGGTTCACTTCCTTGTTGTCTCCCTTGTAACAGCGCCCTTTGATGGGGGCGCTCTCAGATCTACAAAGCACCTGTGCTGCTACAACCCCGTGAGGGTTAAACCCATTTGGCAGATGCGGAAGCTGACCCTCTCTGGGTCGTGTGGTCATCTGTTGGGGTTGCCCACTGCCCTCAACCACCCAGAGGCACGGGGAGTGCAAAGAGCAAGAGCTCACGCTGGTGGTCACTTCACTTAAGGTTCTGTCTCTTCAATAAGCCCAGCCTCGTGAAGATGAGATTTCGTTTCTTGTCTCAGAATTTGTTGCATTGAATGTTGTTTGACGTTTTGGGGCATCAGGGAAGAGTTGGGAAATCTTTAGTTCTATAAAGACTTTTGACTTGAAGTTACTGAATTTGCAAATGCTGCTTAAATGCCAAATCATGATTCTCTAATGAGTCTGTGATCTCATCAATTTGGGAGGATCCTCCAGCAGTTCCTCCCAGTGAGCTGGAGGCCTTGCCACTTTGTTCCGCCTTCACCAGGGTGCCAGTCTCACCCTGTGGCCATCGACCCACCAGCTTCTCTCCCCCCATGGCCAGCCCACTTTCCCTTTCTGTCAGATGGCTCCTTCAGAGCCTTGCCCTCCGGGAGATGCTCGTCTTCAGCTCTTTGCAGGTACAGCACCCATGAAAATTGAAAAGAGGGGGTCTTTGGCTGGCTGTCTTCCACCTCCCCAGCCACTGTGTCCAGTCTGTCCCAGTCAGGCAGGCCCTCTGGCTGTCCACGTTCTTCCTCAGTTGAGGGATGGACAGGCTGGACTCTTGTGTGGTCGAGGATCTCTTCCTGAAGGCCTCCACCCACACGTAGTGGCCTATTCTGCAGCGTGTGGGAGGGGAGCCTGACGCATCAGCTTCAGAGAGCCCAGAAGCCTGAATCGGGGGTTGTGTTCCGCCAAGTTGGGAAGCGCAGTGGACTCCTGTATTCTGTACATCTTTTTGGTACCAGTGGGATCCAAGGCCATTTTTTCTGCTTTTGATGTTTTTCCTTCCATTAGCTCCCTTGTCGCTCAAAACCTTCCTCTTTCTGTACTTGCTGTAGGCCAGCTGTTCTCTTGTCTTTGTTCTCAAGGGCCCAGGAGGTGTCAGGCTTCTTTCTGTCTAATCTCATTCTTTTCTCCCAAAGACTTCTCCTCACCTTCGTCTTGTCCGCCTTTGCCTGGACGCCTCCACGTGTCGGTGTGTCGATGGGTTGGTGGGGGAGGGTCCTCTCCAATGGCTCCTAACATCTCCCGAACCCTTCTTCCTCAGCTGCTGGTTTTTGTGGTGACCTTTTCATCCATTCGTGACTGTTCATGCTGCAGTGCTTGATGACCAGACTTTCCATGAAGGTTTCTTGTTGCCTTTGGCCTCTCCACTGAATGCCGAGAGCCATCCTTCCACTGAGCAGCACCCCTTTACTTTTGGGTTCCATGAAGCACCTTTGTCCCTTCTTTTGACCTGGGCCTTCCTATTATTCTGGTTCTGTTTAGAACAAGTGTGTCAAGATGGGCATGACCTAGCATCTCCAGCAGCGTGCCCACCCCGAACAGGTCTTTCCCTTAAAGGGGCACAAAGCCTAAATACTTGGGAGGCCAAAGGGGCCCCGCAGGAGCGGTGCCTTTTGTGTTTCTCTTTGCTTCCTGAGTTGCTAAAAACAAATCCATCCCAGGCTGGCTGCCCGCTGGGGCTAGGCCCTGCCCACTTAGCAAGGCTGGTCCTTAGTTAACAGGCTTGGCCTCCAGTCTCCATTCTCTGACTCGAATCCAGAACCTTTGTTCCATCCTTGGAGAGAGACAGAAGGCCGTGTAGTTCCCCGTTCCCATTGTTGGAAGCTCCCAGGCTGCGGCCAACTCAGTCATGGGCTCCCTTCCCGTGCAGCCTTTGAAGACGGTTGCTCGGATCTCAGAAGGAATTTCCACTTGAAAACAAAGACCCTGGTTGTGTTGTTTCCCAGGCTTTCCTCTAGAAGCCCACGGAATCCATAGTTACCTTTGCTTAGTTCCTTGGAGCCTGAAACACATGAATAGCAAGTTTTCTTTGGGAAAGTGGATTCAGAGTTTGTTTGGGGGTGCCAGAAATCCCCTGGGCCAGTCTTGGCAGGAGAATCCTGGGACTGTAAAGATACCCAGCTTTCACGACTTGGAATGGAGCCTCTGGCAGGACAGGGGAGGAGGGGGCAGGGAGAGCGTTGGACTCTCCCTCTCATTCCCATCTGCTCTAGACCAGAAGTGGGGCAGAAAGAGGTGCTTGGGCCAAGGCCCCCAGACCTAGTCATATTCTCATCGCTGTAGCTTTCCATCCATTAGGTCTTTCATGTTGAATGATATCATCTGAGTGGCAGGAAAGGTGAACGGGCTTTGTAGGGATCAAGAAGAGGGAGATGGGCCCCCCAGGACAGCCTCTCTCCCCGAGAATAGCGCAGAGCAGCAGTGCCCCTTTCACAGAACCCTTGGGGTGCTAGAGTGACTGAGTTGTGATCCCGAAGGCTGGGCTGCCCATATACTTTGTGAATTGCTTGTTTGCCTGCTGATGAGAACATGTCAGCCTTTGAGTTTCTGTCTGACCCTAACCACCCAATTTAATGCGTTTTTTTTGCCAACAGTTTTTGCCTGTGTATATGCACATTAGGGTTCTGGTTGCTGCATATCTATTTCAAACAGGTTACGGGCACTTCTCGTACTTTTGGATCAAAGGAGACTTTGGAATTCACCGAGTATGTCAGGTAGGAAACAAATAGATACACAAATGAATGAATGAGTAAATGAAAGATAGATGGATGCCATGCCCCTCTGCCTCTGCTCCTGACTGGGTTGGGGGATTCTGGGCCTCTCTAGGCTGCAGCATCCAGAAACTAACTTAACAACCCCTGTCAGCCTCCTCACTGCCCAGTCAGAATGGATTGCTAGGGGGGGCAGCTAGGTGGCGCAGTGGATAGAGCATCGGCCCTGAAGTCAGGAGGACCTGAGTTCAATTCCCGCCTCAGATCAAACACTTGACACATACTAGCTGTGTGACCCTGGGCAAGTCACTTAACTCCAATTGCCTAAAAAAAACAAAAACAAAAAAACAAAATGGATTGCTAACTGGATTCCTGTTTACCAACCGGTCAGTGGGTACAGAGCTTGATGCCATCTTCCCAGTCGTGGTCCTGCCTGGAGCCCCTTGGGTGCTTAGCCTTGCGATGAGGAGACTGAGCTGTGTTGGCATATTGGGAGTCAGGGCCTGAGGCTTCGTTTGTAAAGGGACAAAGACTGAGGACTCAGGAGACGGCGTTCGTACTTAAATTCTGCTTGTGAAACTAATAGAGATTCCTAGACCTTAGTTCAAATCCAGCCTCAGACACTCACTAGCCCGGTGACCTCAGGCAAGTCATTTAACCCTGTTTGCCTCAGTTTACTCATCTGTAAAATGTTCTCATTTTACAAACCACTCCAATATCTTTGCCAAGAAAACCCCAAATGGGGTCACAAAGAGTTAGACACAACTGAAATGACGAAACAACAAAAAAATGTTTTCCTAATTAACAAACATTTATTTTTTTCTCCCTTCTCTCCCCTCTTGCCCAGGGAAAAGAAAACGGCCACATATACATAGTATATACAAATAAAAGTGGCAAATATGCGTGATATACAAATACAAAGCCATATATGTCGATACAAAGGCACGTAGTAAAGCCTGTTACTGTAGTCCTAAATAACCTTTTTGAATTTAAATCCTACCAGAAAAAAATCACATTCTTTGCTTGTGGTATCCAGGCCTGAACTGAAGCTGATTCTTCTCTGTCTGCTCTGTTCCCATCCCTTTGCACACAGGTATTATTTCGTCTCAATTTCCTGGTCGTGGTGTTATGCATCGTGATGGACAGGCCTTACCAATTCTACTACTTTGTTCCCTTAGTCACTGTGTGGTTCTTGGTCATCTATGTCACCTTAGCTTTGTGGCCCCAGATCACCCAAAAGAAAGCTAACGGTAAGTCAACACTTAGTGGCTTTGGGAGGGAAAGGAAGGTAGGAGAGGGGGAAAGGGACAAGAAAAGAAATGAGAGGAGGGAGAGGGAGAAGGAAGGACAAAGAGAAAAGAGAGAGGGTTCAGGTTACCTGTTTGTTTGAGGCTTTTAGAAGGAAGGTAGGGTCAGTGTGATAGAGTAGTAGGCTCCACCTAGCAGAGGCACCAAACCAGATTCTGATGGGAAAGTCCAAGAAAAATTTTGAGTCATCTTTCCAGCCCAGGTTGGCTTAGGGAGACAGAAGGACCGCAGTACCCAGAGTGCTGGGCCTGGAGTCAGGAAGACCTGAGTTCAAATCCTGTCTCAGATATTTATTACTAGTTGGGTGACAAAAAAAAAAACACAAAAAGAGGGGCAGCTCGGTGGCACAGTGGATAGAGCACTGGCCCTGAATTCAGGAGGACCTGAGTTCAAATCGAGCCTCAGACCAAACACTTGACACTTACTAGCTGTGTGACCCTGGGCAAGTCACTTAACCCCAATTGCCTAAAAACAAAAACAAAAACAAGCTAGTTGAGTGGCACTGGGCAAGTCATTTCACCTCTGTCTGCCTCATTTTCCCTCTCTGTAAAATATGGATCATAATAGCACCTCCCTCGAAAGGTTGCTGGGAGGATCCAGTGAGATCATAATTGTAAAGTGGTTAGCCCAGTGCCTGGTACCTAGTTGGCACTCTATAAATGTTAGCTATTAGTTAGCGATTTGTATTAGGTTTGCAGACCCTGTCAGTGGGATCTGGCTAGGAACTGCCAATCAGCAGAACATTCCAGCACAAGGAGAGGCTGTTTACCAGGGCACAGAGAGGCCCCAAATCCAGTAGAGAGGGGCCCAATCTTGTGCACAAATTTACCTAGAATTCCTGGAAGAAGTTTGAAAATGGTTTATAAACTAAGAGCACTAGAGGAAAAAAAAAATGGGAAAGCAATGAGAGCTATGAAAAAAGAAGTTGGAAAAGGCATCAACAGCTTGGCAGTTGAGCAACAAACTCCCTGAAAATTAGAGTGGGCTAAATAGAAGCCAATGACTCCATGAGACAAGTAATAATAAAGTCAAAAGACTGAAGAAAAAAAAAGAAGAAGAAAATGTAAGGCGTCTCTTAGCAAAAACAAATGAGCTGGAAAACAGATCAAAGAGAAGAAATTTTAAAATCGTTGGACTGCCTGAAAGCTATGATTCCCCCACACACATCCTTCAAAAAAAGAGCCTAGAAATCCTATTTGAAAAAAACTGCCAAGATCTCTTAGAACCAGAAGGCAGAGTGGAAATAGCAAGAACCCAGTGGTCACCTCTGAAAGCAACCTCAAATGAAAACTCCCAGGAGCATTGCATTCACAAAATCCAGAGCTTCTGGGTCAAAGAAAAGCTCCTACCAGAAGTGAGAAAGAAAGAATTCAGGTCCCAAGGAGCCGCAGTCAGGATCACACGAAACTTAGCAGTCACCACCTTAAAGGAGTAGAGAGCTTGGAATACAGTATTCGGATGGTAAAACACCATGGGCTTGCAGACAAGAATCACTCATCCAGCAAGACTTGAGTGTGATCCCAAGCAGGGAAAAATGATTTTTAATGAAGTAGAGGGCTTCCAAGCATTCCTGATCTGAACCCCAGAGCTGCATAGAAACTTTGAGTCACAGACACAGGACTCAAGAGAAACATTCAAAAGTAAACGGGGACAAACAGTCCAGAGGCACCTGCTCACTCGGGAGATGACACACATCTCTGACCTTGTCATCATCAGGAGCTCCCAAGAAGAGTGGATGGGGAAATGTATCTTACAGAATCAGAGAGTAGGGAGAAAGCGGTAAAGGGAGCAGGGCAATACTTGAACCTCACTCTTCCCTGAATTAATGAGAGCAGTGAATGCACTAGGCCCTAGGGCTAGTGCAGTTACTGGCCTGGCTCACACACCGTTGTATGCAGAGATGCATTTCACTCAGCAGGGAAACTGAAGGGAAAGAGGAGAAGGGAGAGCAAAGAATAAGAGGGAGGATAGTTTGGGGGAGAGATTTGTCCTAAGCAAAACAAACTCTAGGTAAGGAGTTAGATGCTGCCAGGGGCTGGGGAGTACCCACCAGTCAGGGAAGGGTTGAGCATGTTGCAGTAGAAGAACGTGATGGAAATGCTGTCGCGCTGTAAGGACTAGGGATGGTTTCAGAGAAACCTGGAAAGACTTGCATGGGCTGATGCAGAGAGAAGTGAGTAGAACCAGGAGAACAGTTCGTCCAGTGGCAGCAATATCATAAATAGCAAATGGAGCCACAATTGCGTGAGATGGCTCACGGGCATGGGGAGCAGATCGGGGCATCTGTTTGTGGATATGGCTGAAGCAGGACTTTAGGGGGTTTGTTTTTCTTTCTTTCCCAATGGGGAGAAGGAGAGGCAGGAGGGAGAGGAGGTGGATTTGGGTTAGGTTGGAAAAATAAAATTTCATTTAAAAAATATTTACTTCATTTTCATAAATAGACTGTTTTAAAATCAACTGGCTGCATTGTGCTCCTTCCATATACTATGAGATGCAGTTGTGGTGTTGTATAACCTTGTTCTTTTTCTCATTTTGAAATTCTTTGGGGGGGGGGGGGGCGGAGCCAAGATGGCGTAGTAAAAGCAGTGACTTGCTTGAGCTCTCCCCCAAACCCCTCCAAATACCTGTAAAAAATGACTCTAAACAAATTCTAAAGCAGCAGAACTCACAAAAAGACAGAGTGAAACAAATTTCCAGCCCAAGATAACCTGGATGGTTGATCAGAAAGGTATATCGCACCAGGTGGGGAGAGGAGTGCATTTCAGCATGGGCGCACAGGCCACAGCGACCCTGGAGCAGGCCTCAGAGGACTGAATTGCAGACAGCTGTGGCGGTTTCCAGACTTCTCAACCCACGAATGCCAAAGACAACTTAGAAGGTCAGTGGGAAAAGTCTGTGACTGCTGTGGTGAAAGAGGAGCTCAGGATACCAGCCACAAGTCTCAAGTGTGGCCCGGGGCCCAGGTGGTTTCCTGAGCTTCCGGCCCACAGACTGAGGGGGAATCGAGTGACTGATCAGAGGGGGATTGCAGGGATCTCTTTGCCAGTGCTGAGGCAGGAATCTCTTGCTTTACTGGTGCTTAGATCTGGTTCACAGTTCTGAGGGGTGGTCCTGGGGTTAGGAGGAACGCTGGTGCGGTGGAGCTTGTTGTGGCTGTGGAGAGGAAACACCTCGCCACTTATCATACCACCTTGGAAGAACTGAAAATTTACAGGTCCCTAGAAGTATCTCTGAAAACAGCTGTCCACACCCCCGAAGCTTGGGACAGTACATTCTCCACATTGGAAGCAGACTCTTACCTTAACAAAGAGTTTAAAACTCAAGTAATTGGCTGGGAGGGATCATGAGTAAGTAGCACAAAAAGAGTCAGACTATATTATCTTACTTTGGTGACAAAGAAGATCAAAACATACAACCAGAAGAAGACAACAAAGTCAAAGCTCCTACATCCAAAGCCTCCAAGAAAAATATGAATCAGTCCCAGGCCTTGGAAGAGCTCAAAAGGGATTTTTGAGAAGCAAGTAAGAGAAGTAGAGGAAAAACTGAGAGTGATGCAAGAAAATCATGAAAAACAAGTCAACAGCTTGCTAAAGGAGACCCAAAAAATACTGAAGAAAATAACACCTTAAAAAATAGCCTAACCCAAATGACAAAAGAGGTCCAAAAAGCCGATGAGGAGAAGAATGCCCTAAAAAGCAAAAATGGCCAATGGAAAAGGAAGTCCAAAAGATTACTGAAGAAAATATGTCCTTAAAAATTAGAATAGAGCAATTGGAAGCTTTTGACTTTATGAGAAATCAAGACACTGTAAAACAAATCCAAAAGAATGAAAAATGAGAAAACAATGTGAAATATCTCATTGGAAAAACAACTGACGTGGAAAATAGATCCAGGAGAGAGAATTTAAAAATTATTGGACTATCTGAAAGCCATGATCAAAAAAAGAACCTAGACATCATCTTTCAAGAAGTTATCAAGGAACACTGCCCTGATATTTTAGAACCAGAGGACAAAATAGAAATTGAAAGAATCCACCAATCACCTCCTGAAAGAGATCCCCAAAGGAAAACTCCTAGGAATATTGTCACCAAATTCCAGAGTTCCCAGATCAAGGAGAAAATATTACAAACAGCCAGAAAGAAACAATTCAAGTATTGTAGAAACACAATCAGCATAACACAAGATTTAGCAGCTTCTACATTGAGGGACCGCAGGGCATGGAATATAATATTCTGGAGGGCAAAGGAGATAGGACTACAACCAAGAATCACCTACCCAGCAAAACTGAGTATAATCCTTCAGGGCAAAAATGGTCATTCAGTGAAATAGGGGACTTTCAAGCATTCTTGATGAAAAGACCAGAGCTGAATAGAAAATCTGACTTTCATATGCAAGACTCAAGAGAAGCATGAAGAGGTAAACAGGAAAGAGAAATCATAAGAGACTTATTAATGTTGAACTGTTTACATTCCTGCATGGAAAGATGATATTTGTAACTCATGAGACCTTGTCAGTATTAGGGTAGTTGGAAGGAAAAAATTATATTATATATATAGATAAAGATATAGATAGAGGGCACAGGGTGAGTTGAAGATGAAGGGGTCATATCTGGAGAATAAAATTAAGGGGTGAGAGAGGATTCTACTAGGAGAAGGTGAAAGGGAGAGGTAGAATGGGGTAAATTATCTCACAAAAAAAAAACAGAAAAGGCTCTTACAGTGGAGAGGAAACGGGAAGGCGAGAGGGAATGAGTGAATCTTATTCTCATAGAATTTGACTTAAGGTGGGAATAACATATACACTCAATTGAGTATGGAAATCTGTCTTACCCTACAGGAAAATAGGAGGGGAAGGGGACAGGAGAGTAGGGGGATGATAGAGAGGAGGGCAGATTGGGAAAGGGGATAAATCAGAAGCAAATATTTCTGAGGAGGGACAGGGTCAAAAGAAAGAATAGAATAAATGAGGGGGCTGGGATAGGATTAAGGGAAATAGAATTAGTTTTTCACAGCATGTCTGCTATGGAAGTGTTTTGCATAACTGCACGTATATAACCTATATTGAGTTGCTTGCCTTTTCAATGAAGGTGGGTGGGGAGGGAAGAAGTAGGAAAATTTGGAACCCAAAGTTTTAAACACACATGTTTAAAAAAATGTTTTCACATGCAACTGGAAAATAAGAAATACAGAAAATGGGGTACAAAAATCTATCCTGCCCTACAGGAAAATAGAAGGGGAAGGGGATAAGAGAAGAGGGGGAGAGATAGAAGGGAGGGCAGAGTAGGGGAAGGGGTATTCAGAATGCATGCCATCCTGAGGTGGGGGGAGGGGCAAGATGGGGGGAGGGTTTGTAACTCAAAATCTTGTGGAAGTGGATGTTGAAAACTAAAAATAAATAAATTTATTTAAAAAAAATATAAAAAAAAGAAATTCCTTGTTATAGAGGTCACAGCTCTCTGGGAGGGGAGGGGAGGAATGTATTGGGAAATGTCGATCGTTAAAAATAAAAGATACAAATGCTTTTATTAATTAAATAAATTTAGACCTTTTTTTAAAAAATGGGTTGTTAGACAAAACGTTTCAGTAAGATTGCTGCCCACACTTTTAAAATTGAGAGCGTTGGCTTGGTGAGTTGGGAAGAGCCTCGATTTTAAGCTGGAGAGAGACCTCAGAAAGAGGCTGTGTTCAGATGTAGGTGGCAGAGGTGGCTTGAAGTGTGACCTGTGGTCAGACTGACTGGACTGTTAAATGGCTTCTGACTTGCATTTCTATAGAAAAAGCGAGTTACCCTAACCCAGAAAATGTCTCATCCCCCAGGAAGCTGCTTCTGGCATTTGGGTGCGCTGATGAAACTCGCGTTCCTGCTCGTCTGTGTCTGCTTCCTGGCGTATTCTCAGGTTCGTATTGTCTCAGCATCTGCATCTTCACGGATGTCTCAGGCATCCTGACCTGCACTGGATGCGTGAGAGCAGACATGTCTTTATTTTGAAGTGGCCTCACTGGAATGTCCCAAAAACTGTCTTTTCAGGCCCAGATTGGTCTTGGTCCCATTGACTCATTGGCAGCGGCAATTTCAGGGTAGTTTTTGTAAATGTAGATGTCTAGTGTAAATGTCCTAAGAACCTTATTTTGCTGGTGGTTGTTAAGCTGTTCGGGGCAGTTCTGAATGCTGAGGGCTCTGCGGTCACCCTTGGCGCTGAATTTGCTTTTAATTTGCTGGGTTCTAGGATGAGCACATTGGGGAAAGAGCTGGGCCTGTAACTCTGGTGAGGCCATGGAGAGGGTTGTCCTAAGTGTTCCCCCGTGAGGACCCTGCAGCCTCCCAGGAGCTCAGGCTGCTGAGACTCGGTGACCTCAGTGGCTGGGTCTACCGACCTTTGTCTGTAGGGGGGCTTGGGCAAGACTCATTTCTAGCTTCTCAGGTCTGTGACACCCCCCACCCCACAGTGGAGTACTCTGGCTCTGAGTCATGGCCTGTGCTGACATGTGCATCTTGGCAGTGGGGTGGCCCTCGGGACCACTGAGAAGCAGAGAAAGGGTGGACTAGCCTGGTGCTGGGGACAAGTGTGTCCAGTGTAAATGGGGTGTGGGCCGTCAAGCTGGGGGAGCCGTCCCCAACCCCAGGCCAGCTGCCAGCCACCCTCCAGTGCCTCAGATGAGAAAAGGGTACCATCCCTAGAGCCAAACATCCCCCAGGCCTCTTATCTCAGCCACCCTCCTGGTAGAAGCTGCTCAGGTTTTTCACTTCACTTGCCCTGCACTCACTTCTCTTGCAGACTGGCCTTAGACCTTTCCTCAGTCCTCATCCTTCTTTGCCTCTGCACCATTGGGTGCTGTTGACCACCCTCTTATCTCCGGGGTTTTGGGACCCCGTCCTCTCATAGTGAGTCAGAGCCCCAAGGCTGTCCAGTTGGCGGCCGCCTCTCCAGGCCTCCTATCCATCCCCTCCTTTCAGTCAGGGTGCAGCAGCCTCTCTATTAGCCTCCTTGCCTCGAATCTGGCCCTTCTGGTCCTCTCTTCTCTTCATCACCTTCCATGGCTGTTCTTACCATCTCTGTGATGTAGCCCTGCTGTCCCCTCATGGACATTTCCAGGCTGAGAGGTCAGTGGACATCCAGTGTGCACGTCTCTCCTCTCTCAGTCGCCCAGACCATTGCAGTAGCCTTGACGGGCTCCATCCTGTTTTGCAAAGCCCTCAATCAGGCTCCTCCTCTTTCTGGGTTTGTTGCCCATCTCTCCCTCCCTCCAACTAAGCTGATCTGGCTGCTGCTTTTGGGGGCCTGGGTTTCTTTCCAGCTCAGGCCCATCTGCACAGAAGCTTTGAGCTGTTCTGTTTGCAGGCAGGGCTGGTTACCCCCCTCAGGTATCCCAGTGGCCCCCATCTTGGTGCCAGCTCCATCGGTCCACCTGGCTTAGTCTCCTCAGGATCAGGGATCTCCCCGCCTGGAACGCCTTTGGTATGATCAGCCTTTTCTTTGCCCTTCTTGGACTTGGAGGGATTCAGAAGGCTTCAGGAAGCGGCCATCATGGGAGGTGGATGGCTTCTGGTTGATGGCCTCTCTACCTTTGTGTTTTGCAGGGGGCGTTTGAGAAGATCTTTTCTCTTTGGCCATTGTCCAAGTGTTTTGAATTGAATGGAAATGTCTATGAGTGGTGGTTCCGGTGGAAATTGGACCGCTACGTATGTCATCACTTGTACTTGGAGGCCCAGAAGTGTCTTTGGGAACTTCCTGACCTGTCTGCCCCCTTTTCAGGAGAGTCCCTGGGTTTTACATGTAGGGTTGGGGGGAGGGGGGAGCACGGTTTCTCCTCTTCGTTCTGGAGTGGGCCGTGAGGTCAGAGGGGCCTGGTCCAATGAGCACACCGGTGGGATGAGCAGATGACCTGACTTGTCATAGGAGGGGCCCATAAGGGGACTGAGGAAGAGGAGGCTTCAGGGGGACCTTCGTGTCCAGTGGCTCTGGCCTGAGCACATTTCCCTTGTTGTCAGGGTGACTTTTTTTTTTTTTAAGTGAGGCAATTGGGGTTAAGTGACTTGCCCAAGGTCACACAGCTAGTACGTGTCAAGTGTTTGGTCTGAGGCCGGATTTGAACTCAGTCCTCCTGACTTCAGGGCCGGTGCTCTATCCACTGCGCCACCTAGCTGCCCCTAGGGTGACTTTTTCACAGTTAGAACTGCAGGGGTGATGGGCTCCTGGACCCTAGAAGTCTTTGGGCTAAGTTAGATGAGCCCTTATTGGGGAGGGTTTGGACAACATGGCCCCCAGGTCCCTGCCAACTCGCAGAGTCCCTGGTCCTGCTAGGGAGGAGTGAGAACAGTGGGTGCCCCTCTCAAAGCTGGGTCAGCTTATGCCTGGCAGCCCTTCCTTATGGGCCTTCCTGCCACACTTGCCTTCAGCTTCCCAGGTAGCCCAGCAGGTCAGGTGACACTCGATGCAGTCACAGCTAATGGTGTCCTTTCAGAGGGCCATGGCTGAGGAGACCAGATGTACTCCTTTGCTCTCAACATGGCCCAGAGAGCAGCACCTCTTGTCTGTGACCTCTGCTTGGGGTCCTTTCTATCCCCCGCTGCCCATCTGGCTCTTTGACCAATAGCAGTGTGACCTTCTCCCTCAGTTTCTTTATTTGTAAAACGGGGCTAAGCAACACCCAGCCAAGGTATACTCAGAGGAGAGAAGGTACAGGAAGCCACGGGCGATGCGCTCTTGTCCTCACTGTGACTCCCGTGGTGGGCCTTCCTTCACAGGTTGTATTCCATGGAATGTTGTTTGCGTTTGTTTACCTGGCCTTGCAGAAGCGCCAGGTGCTCTCCGAGGGGAAAGGGGAGCCCCTGCTCCCCAGCAGGATGTCGAACGTGCTGCTCTTTGTTTCCGTGGTCTCCTTCTTGGTGAGTTCCCTGACAGGAATGCCTTTGGTCCTTTAATTCTGGGGTCGGTTAGCTGGAGGGGCAGGGGATGCCCAGGAGTGGCCGAGCCCCTTGTTTTACAGTCATGCAGTCCCCGGGCCTGGGACGGGTGGGCTCTTGGGGTACAGTGTGTGCTGCCCACTCTGTAAAATGGGCCTTCTTGGAGTGCAGTAGGGCAGCCTGCTCGCGGTGGCCTTCTCTGCTGGTAGCACCTGGGATGGTCTCGTGGGAAGGAGACGAGGTCGCGCTGGCTCTTCGCGAGCTGATCCACATGGCCCTTCCCTCCTAGACCTACTCCATCTGGGCCAGCAGCTGTAAGACCAAAGCCGAGTGCAACGAGCTGCATCCCGCGGTGTCCGTCGTGCAGGTAGGGCTCCTGACGCTTGGGAGAGGCGGGGGGCTCCGGGCCCTGGAGAGGGTGGTGGATTAACGGACTCTTCCTTTGGCTCGTCCTTTAGATTCTAGCTTTCATTCTCATCAGAAACATCCCGGGATATGTCCGCTCAGTGTATAGCTCGTTTTTCGCTTGGTTTGGGAAAATATCATTAGAGGTGAGTATGCGTGTTTTCGTGTGTTGACGTTCCTGTGTCCGCTTTTCATCTCGCTTCCCTTCCCCACCCCTGCCGAGGGATCTCCTTCCCTCCTACCCTCAAACCCAGGTGACCACTGCCTGAGCTCTCTGGCCTCTCTCCACTCCTTCGGCAGTACCCCCTGGACGGCCCCTCTCTGTGCCAACAACCTCCCGAGTCCTCCCCATCTTCTGAGAGCTCCAGACCTCTCTGTCTGCCTACGGGAAGGACTTCCCTGAGGGTCCTCCCTCTCCAGCCCCCGCAGCCCAGTCTGTGTCTGCTCTAGGCTGGCATCCAGTGTAAGCTTTTCCTCCCTCTGCCCTCCTCAGCCTGCCCTTCTCTACTCCCACTCTCTGAGTTCCAGCCATTTGAACTGCCCTACTTTCACCCCTTTGCCCACCCTGGTCCCTCTAACTGTACTGCCCTCCACCTCTCCCACTTGGCCCTGCTCAGATTCCACCTAAGGGAAATAGTCCCCAGCCTTCCCCTTCAGGCTCCCAAGGATCATACTTTGTTTTTTTCATGCTCTATACTGCATATTATAGTTGTCCTGCCCCATTCTCATATTAAGTGGAGACTGTAAGCTCCCTGAAGGCAGGAAGGGAAGGGGAGAAGAAGACCCTTACAGAGGCCCCAGCAGGGCCTGCCCCAGGCACCATGAGGAAGGATTTGAACCCAGGGCTTCCAGACTCCAAGTTGAAGGGGACACCCCTCTGGTGTTTCATTAGAGGCTGGCCAGGGGGTTAAAACAGCTGCTGATAGTGGTGAAGGTTTTCAAAATTGCAGAAGATTGGATCTAAGGATTGCAATGACAGAGATGCCTGAAAAAAAACCTTTCCATCACTGGCTGGGGTGTGTGCACAGTAGGTACATGCGTATGCTTGGGGTGCACGTACGTGTATGTGCAGGCACCGCAGTTGGATGCATCGTTGCCCAGACTGGGGGCGTGGCATCTTGTGGAAGGCATGGTCCTTTTGGGAGCCTCCCAAGGCTTCATGAAAGGCGACTGTTCTGACTAGTCTGAGGGTGTGGAATCACCCATCTTCGTTTCTTGGCTTTTTTCCTAGAGAGTCCCAGGATAATAATATCCACTTTATCTCATTTACCCCCATCTGCACTCCCCCACTACAGTAGAGTCAGAATCTGGGTCATCGTTTTGAGTGACTCCAGAAAAGGGAGTTCTATTGGTCTTTATCCTCTCGTGCACCATGTGGATGAGTTTTCTCCCACGACCCTCCCGTGGCCTACATGACTGTGGCTCTTTCTTCCTTCCCAGCTCTTCATCTGCCAATACCATATCTGGCTGGCCGCAGACACCAGGGGCATCTTGGTTCTTATTCCTGGCAACCCGATGCTCAACATCACGGTCAGCACTTTCATCTTTGTGTGTGTGGCCCATGAAATCTCGCGCATCACCAATGACCTTGCCCAGATCCTCATCCCCAAAGAAAGCGCAGCTCTCTGGAAGAGGCTGGCCTGCATCGCGGGCTTCTTCTCTGCTCTCCTCCTCCTGTCCTCCATCCAAGGGGAACGCAGGCAGTAGCCATCCCGAGGCCTACAGGCGAGATTGTGTGTGTGCCTGGGCGGCCCTCGAGGACTGTGGGAAGCCTGATCCTCTGCAGCAGGGTTGTGCTGGTGCCCCCTGCACTTTTCGAAGACGTTTTCTTAGTGTCTGTGTGGTGATGTCCAAGTGACTTGGGTGGGCTGCATGTTTCCTGACACAGTCGCCATTGTCCCCCTTGGGGTCTGCTTGGTTCCGCCCCCACTCAGGGGTCCTGTGCCATGCCTGTGCTAGTGCTGTGTGTTGGCTTTTAAAAAGACAAATTTTTCCACCCAGAATTCCTCCCTTCCCCCCTTGACTTTTCATTACCAGCTCCGCAAGGAGGAGGTCACTTAGGTCATGGATCGATTGGACATTTTTCTCCATTTATTCATTTTTACATATGATTTCCAACGTTTGGAAAGTCCTTCCCAACCTCCATTCAGCCTTCCCACGTTCATCTCACCATGTTCTTTGCTGAGCGATGGATTGGGGGTTTGTGATATAAGTCTTGGACCGACTTTAATGAGGCTTTGAAGGAAACGTGTCAGGAGCATTTCCTTTCTTTTTGTTTTTTTTACAAGCTGACTATTGTAGACAGGGTTTATTTATCTGTTGTACAGATCGGGTTATGATTTTTATGGTTCAAAAGATTGCACTTGTTTACTGTGGGGGGGTAAATATATTTTCTGTTAATGTTACGTGAACGTGTGAAGTAATTTAAAAAGTAAATAATTGTTTTGTTGGGATGCTTATTTTTGTATTGGCAAGAGATCAATTAAACTGCTTGCTTCATGTGTTTCTTTTGTAGCAGAAAGAACCTGGGTTTGATGGTGTATAGCTGTGCATGTTCCTCCTAGGAGGGCCAGCCACTGCCTGCTCCCCCTCCCTTAGCTGTCCCTGCCCACCACGTTTCCTGCTTCTCTTTTATCGCAGTCTGTGAAGGACGAGGACTGGGGATGGAGACAAGGCTCAGAATCTCCCTAGCTGCTATTACCCTTTCCTTTCTCGGCCGACTGTGGGCAGTCTACCAGTCTGGGCTTTGCCCACTCTGTTCCAGGCCCCCTGGACAGCATGTCCCGAAGGGGAGACTGCTTCACAGACTTCTGCCTCACCTGCTCTCATCAGATAGATAAGGCTTCATGTCTGTCTGTGGTTCCTTTTTTGAGAGAATTTGGTTTTGCAAAAAGCTTTGAATGTAGCAAGGCCTCAACTGGACTTCTCATCCATGAATGTGTGGTATTGCCTTGACCAGAGAGTCTGACCATCTCTGAGATGGGCATCAGGCATTGGGCCCCAGGCCCAGGCTGGAGCAGGTCAGGACTGTCCACAGTCTGCTAGTATGCAGGTGAACGGAAGACACCTATCAGAAGACTGGGCGCAGGATGGTATGGAGACTTTAGTGGGTCCACCATGTACCTGCAGAGGCCCTCCCACCACCCCCTTACTGTGTGGCCAGGCTGGAGCCACAGGGTATCACAAAGCAAAACCCCAGACTGGCACATCTGCCCTCATCTGGCAGGAGCTTGTGGCAAAGGAGGCAGCCCTCCAAGGGTCCCTCTCCAGCTTAGGAATGTCCTCCCCAAAAAGGGTTCACGGAACTGAGCCTCCAGTGAGGGCTCCAGCTTCTTAGCCCCTCTGATAAACCCCCACCCCCCACACGCACATTCACTTGGTGGCTAAGTCTTACCAATCCAGTATCCAAGATAAGTATGAAGTGCTTATCGGCAGGCCCTGTGCTAAGCCTAGCAGGAAAGTGCCCGCCCATAAGGAGCTGCCAGTCTGGTGGAAGACAGTGCTGAAGGGGGAGAGGACGGTACCTGGCATGCGGGCTCAGCCAATTGGGAAGAGGCCACAGAGGTGGAGGAGGCTGCTATCTTGAGAAGTCCGAGGGGAGGAGGTCTCTCCACACCAACAGCCAGCCGCCTCTCGACTTCAGACTCCTCTCCCTCCCTCTGGCCTGGACTGCTTCCATCTCCCCTGCCCAGGTCTCCATCCTCCAGTCTGTCCTCCATGCAATTATAAACTAATCTCATTAAGACACAGGCCTGGCCATCTCGCTCCCTCCTGCAAATGAGCCTTTGGCTGCTGTCTACGGGCTCTAAGAACTGTTCCACTTCCCTTCCCTCTCCAGGCTCCACCTCTCAGAACCCTTCCCTTCCCATCACCCCTTCCAGGACTCCTCTGGGCATCATCTCGTGGGGGTGTGCACCCACCCCACCTCTCAAAGCTGAAGAGATTTTCTTTCTTGTGGTGGCCCTGGGACTAACACAGGGCCTGGCACCTGTGGGATGCGCAGTCCTTTTTTGAACTGATACATTAACATGAATGCACTCATTGACCTATGAAACCAACAAGGGCAGAGAATTTCTGTTCCATCAAAAGGCACCTCACTCCTATGGACTCCTCGTGCGTCAAAGGCAACAAGAAGCTTCCTTGCAAGCAATCTTTGGTCCTGCATTCCATGGAGTGTCCATGGCTGGGAGAACAGCAGCTCATACTTACTCTGATGGGGCCAGCCCAGCACCCACTTGAGGCACAGACAAATGGGTCCCGGAGCAGACCGACTTAGATGTTCCCTCTTGGTTTCCTCAGGGCAACCTAACACTTTGGTTGGCTGGTTCTCCAGTGTTCTCAGCTTGAGCTCCCATTGCCGAGTGTTTTCACTGCCACTTCTTCATGTCATCTAATAGTACCAGTTAATACCTCCTCAGTATCATCATTACCGTTGATTAGCACTCCAGTCAACCCCAATGAGCTTTTAGACATGGGTATTCTATATCTGATTGCTTACCATCTCAGAGAGAAGAGGGAAGGCAGGATGGGAGGGATAGAATTTGAAGCTCAAAACTTTGTAAAATGTTTAAAAAATTTGTTTTAACATGTAATTGGGGAAAAAATAAAACATTTAAAAATAAATAAAAATGTTAGAGAAAACTGCAAAAAAAAATGGACATTTACCAAACAAAAATGTACAAAACATTGCCCGAAAGTCTGGAACATATCTTCCCACCAACATAGACAGAATCTATAGGAAAGTGTCCTCAGGCTTGGAGGGATGTGTGGCCAAGGGACGCTCGGAGCTCCTCACTGCTGGGAGTTCTTCCTCCCCTGGGCATGCAGAGCCTCGACTGTGAAGCCCCCATGCCCCCAAAGATCCTCCTCAGGGTGTAACCAAGTCCCTAGACCGATCAGCAGCATTGGCTGGTGTTCATCCGATGGCTTTCAAAGATGGTTTTGAACTCAGTCTAAAGCTTTGAACGATTGCTTGAGCTGTGTTCCCTCTCCCCTGGTCAAGGTGTCAGAGCACAGACATCATCTCAACACTTCGTGTAAGTGGAATAGGGGTGGGTTGGTTGATCAGCTCTCTCTCCCCCAACCCCTTTATGTGCATGGGTCACACTAGGGATGACTGAGGTCCCTTCCATCTCCAATTCTGTGATTGGTGACCCTGGAACCACAGCCAAGTTCCTCCTCACACACAGATGTCTAGGTCAGCTTTCCTGAAAAGGAGAGGCTTTCATTTCTGTCCTTTGTCCCAAGGCCATTCCCCGGGATAAGGGGGATACCTTTGGAGGAGACCTGAATTGCCGGGAGGCTCTCTCCCTGTTCCCACAATGGTCCTAATGATCAGCTGAGCCCTGATCCCACTCCAGTCTGCTTCTATACCCAGAGGTCCCCCCAGTCCCTGAGGAAACCTGTTTCCTCACCCTTTCATAGTATGAGAATGTTCCATTAGATTTATGTCTCGTGATTCCCTTAACCGTTTTCCCATTAGGTGGGTGCACCTTTACTTGCTAGTTTGGGCTTACCATCCAAAGAGCTGCTACTGATATTTCAGTATTTAAAGGTCCATTTCCTCTTTCTTTGGTCTCTTGGGCGTAGGCCAATAGTGGTGTCCCTGAGCCTAAGGGCAGGCAGAGCTCAGTCCCTTTGGGGCATCACTCCCGTCCCACCCACAGCCTTAGCTGTTGTGCTCCCACCATCTTTGCCAGTTAGGTGGGCTTGAGGTACACTTTGCAGCTGCCCTGACTGTACTTCTCTAATTAGTGATTTGGAGCATTTTTTTCACATGGCTGTTGAGAACTTGGCTTTCTTCCTTTGAGAACCGCTGGTTCTTTGGCCAGTGATCTGTTGGGGAACGGCTCTCTCAATTCCTCTTTTATTGTGGACATAAAACCTTTAGTAGAGAAACTTGCTGCAAAGAGTTCCCCGGTTACCTGTTTTCCTTCTGATTTTAACTGCATTCGTTTGTACAAAAACTTAATTGAAATTGTCTGTTTTATCGGCTATGATCCTCTCAGTCTTTCATTTGGGCATGGCCTTTTCCTCCATCGTTAGAAATGAAAGATAACTTCTTCCCTGCTCCTTCAATTTATGTATGTCTATGTCGCATATCCTTGTGAAGCTGAGCTTGGGATACAGTGTGAGATGCTGGGGGTTAGGGTTAGGTTACTGATTGCTGCCAGATAGTTTTCCATGTCCCAGCGTTTTTGTCAAAATCACTGAGTGGTCGCCCCCCAAACTAGAGTTTTTGGATTGCTAGAACATGGTTCTAGCACGTTGTGCTACAAATCCAACTACAAAGCATTTTGTAGGTTATTCCTACAAAGCATTTTGTAGCACTCTACAAAACAAAAAGGAATAATTCTGACTCTTCTTTGCCCATGGTTATGCCCTCCAATTCTCTTTCTTGCCTCTTTCTATAATTTGCATTTCTAACACTAGGTTAAATTTTCATGGGGATAATGGCTAGCCTTGCATCATGCCTTAGTCTGTTGGAAAGGCCTCTAACTTTACTCAGTTATGTATAATGTTTGCTTTTGGTTAATTGTTTTGTTTTAAAACTAAATTAATTTATTTGTTCCTGTGCTTTCTATTGTTTTAACAAGTTCAGTACCTCTTAGGGAAAACAACTAGTCTCACCTGTGTGGGGCAGGGTCTTAGGAAACAGCTAGCACCCTCGCTGAGTGGGCACCAGGAATCATTACTCTGTTCACAGCTGCCTTTGGGGAGTTTACCTGATGTAATGTTGAGACCTTTCAGCCCAGCAGGCTGGTGGAAAGCCATCTCTGGTCCTGCTGTCATCCCTGAGACACCTGGGGATCAGCACCCACTCCTTCCCCACTAGTGCCTTAGGGAGCCTTTGGGAGCCATCACCTTTTCCCTCTGGCTAGTCCCAACTAGATGGTGCAGGAGATAGAGCTCTGGGCCAGGAGTCAGGAAGACCTGAGTTCCAATATGGCCGCAGATACTTACAAGCTGGGTGACCCTGGACGAGTCACTTAACCCTATTTGCCTCAGTTTCTTCATCTGTAAAATGACCTGGAGAGGGGCAGCTAGGTGGCACAATGGATAGAGCACTGGCCCTGGAGTCAGGAGGACCTGAGTTCAAATGTGATTCAAATCTTGACACTTACTAGCTGTGTGACCCTGGGCAAGTCACTTAACCCCAATTGCTTCGCAAAAAAAAAAAAAATAATTAAAAAATAAAATAAAATAACCTAGAGAATGAAATGGCAAACCACTCCAGTATCCCTGCCAAGCAAACCACAAATGGGGTCGCAAAGATAACATTCAACAGCTCTAAAACTTGGGCTTGTTTCGCAACTACTTCCATTTAAATAACTGAATTTTAACACATGAAATACCATGTTAACTTGCTGGTTCTTCCAGCTGCTTCTCCATCACTTTTGCTCCTCGGGACCTTCCTCCCTCCCTCCCTTCCTCTCTCTCTCCTTCCCTCTCCCTCCCTATCTTCCTCTCTTCCTTTCTCCCTCCCTTCCTTCCTCCCTCCTTTCCTTCCTTCC